GATTGTGATCGGTGACCGATCGATCGGCACACCTCTACTATATACTTGTATTTTAATTTAGTGACCTGTAAAGGCCATAGAGAGACGACACAACGTTCATTTTAGTTCAGATTATGAATTCAGTTTTGAGTAAAAGGGTAAAAACAGATTTGGAGACGATGACTTGCATCGAGTTTTATTAATCATTTGAATTTTTGGTTTTTGAAGATTTAAATTTGGAAAAATCTGGATTTTTTTATTTTTAATTTTTTTTTTCACCAACATTCTCCTCGAGTCTCCATAGTTCAGAGTGATGTGAGTGCACCCCAAAGCCGCCATTTTGTTTGACAGACATGTTTTATATCTTCTGTTTATTCGGACTCCGAATTCAGGTTAACTCCATGACAGAAAATTGGGGCCAGGCTAAGATTGGTTTTCTTTTATTATTATTATAGAATAAACACTCATGACAATGTAGAAATATTGTGAATGAAGTCTTAATATTACAAGAATAATGTAGTAATATTAGAGGATGAAGTAGTAACTTTATGAGACTGCAAAAGGTAAAATATATATATACTTATGTATATCCAGGCTTTTTTCTTATTTTCTTTTCTTTTTGTGCTTATTTTCTTGTAATTTTAAGACATTCTTCTGGTAAAATTGTGTCTTTATTCTGCTGAAGGGATGATTAATATAAAAGCCACATTTTGAAAATGTTTATGTAGTTTTTTTGGGGTTTTTTTTAGAAAAGAAAGTGAGGAAAAAACTCTAATATTGGACCTGATATGAAAAACAATGCCTAGCATATCATCCAGCCCTGTTATATACAGTAGCGTTTAGTCCAATCTATACTAGAAACGGGTGTTGTATCAATGATTTACAAGAACAAAAAGCTCTCTAATTAAAGAGCTGAATTTCCTACTCAAGCTATCTGTAACAAAAACAATCACTAAAAATAAAAAGTTTGGTTAAGTCACAATCCATTAATAACTAAATGTTTTCCAAAAGGCTGAGTAACATGTTATTCCATTATGTAGGGCAAATTGAATCGGTGTTTGTGTTTTCCATAAAAACGTATTCATCTAGAGGCTGATGTATGTAAAAGTTATATCTTAACAGTCCAGATATGCAGAGATTGAACGCGCAAGTTAACCCATCTAGATTAAATGGTCACCAAACGGATAAACCAGTAACACAACTAGATTTCTAATCTTGCTAAAATGGTCACGGAGTTTTTTTAAACCGCTTCCAACTAAATCTCTTAACAAACTATAGAAGCAGGTCGAGGCTGAGCGGTGGCCAAAGTTTGATTTAAAGCGAGGAGCTGGCTGAGACCTTTAATAAATCATTAATCGAACAGGCTGCGAATCAGCCGCAAAGGAACACGATGTCACCTGCTGTCTCCTGACAAAGCCACCGTATCCTGACCTGTGCACGATTACTGCTCCCAGGTCAAAGGTTAACGTTACAAAGGTGTTGTATAATTCACTCTAGTTGAGTGTTATTCTGACACCATCATCATGTGTGTTTTACAGATCCACTACGGTCGGGTCAGCAACTTTACATAACTATACCGTCTTCTGCATTATGAGTGGACGTTTTTAACAGCCACTCCTTGAATGGATCTGACCTGTACGAAATATTCGACCTTGTTGTGGCGTCATATGGCTGTTACTTGAATTCATTTGAGTCTTGTGGATTGATTCATTTTGAAATTATTCACCCCCTCTTCCTCCTCCCGGCTCTTCTCGTCTTCGTCATCCTCTTCTTCCGGGCGGTTCAACCAGCTATGCTAACTGCGGCTACCGCTGCTTCTCTGGAAGGTTATTCTGTCCTACTTGTAGTAGTACACCCCCGCCCCCCCTCCTCCTTTGAAAAAGTCAAATATAGGACAGAAAGGGAGGCCCATATACTCGGCCGGTCTGATCGCTGCCGTGAATGCCAGGGTCATCTGCGCAGCTGGGGCCCGCTGTTCAAACTATGATCATTAAAGCAAAGTACGAGCAAAGGAAGTGGGGCAGAACATGAGCGGTTAACGTCCTAATGCAGTGCACTCACTGGTGCCCCGGCCAAGCGGTGCGTCTTCACCATTAACAATTAGACTGGGCATTAACGGCTTCAGATGCAGGGCTGCGTGACTGCTTTCACACATGATTTTCCATTTCATTTTACTGCAGAAAATGTGCTCATTTAACAGTTTCCTCCATTTTTTCTTTTTCAAATATTTTTACTAGAGTCAATCAAACAAATTACAACGTATAATTATTGTTGTTAAATCTCAGTTTTCAGGTCAATTTCCCATCATTGTAAGCATATTAACAGTACTGAAAGTCATTTCCGTTTCTCTGATCAGGGATTGTTTTCTTGCTCATGTTCCGATAAACGGCTGAATGACATCAAACCGTAGAGATACAAAAGATGGCTTGAACTCACAAATCAGTTTTACGCTTTTATTTGACAGTCTTGAAGAAGATTTAATATTTTGACACTAACTTTGTCTCCATCGCAGTCAGAAGTAAGCAGCGTTTTTGTTGGGTTTAAATAGAAATGGGTGTAAAACAGTCATTGGAGGCTTGATTAGATAAAATTCCTGGCTTCAGCCCTGGGAGCCTCCCTTTTCTTGTTTTATAGGAAGGGTGGAGCCGCTATCTACACTCAACATTTTCAACAAGTCAAAAGTAAACGCTACCCACTTAAAAGCTGAACCAAGTAGCTGATACCATCACGTAAAGGTCACATTATCCTCAATACAAATAGAAACCTCTTACCACTAAGTAGGGGTTTGCAGGCTGACATTTAATGTGTTGCAGGCCAAATATCTAAGAAAATGTTAAATTCCAACATGTTCCATTATATTTAATGGAAAACAGGAAGTGTTGGCCTGTAAACAAGTTGATAATTAATCTGTACTGATCATAAATGAGTTTAAATGATTAACAAATAAATATGCTCATATGATTCAGAAGTTAACTTGGGCCATTAATCAGTTTTCCACATTATTTTATTGATTTCAAAATATTTTTTATTTTTATTAAAAATATTGGTGCTTTAACATAATCGGGGTTAAACCAGCTTTGTAATTAAACTGATGGATTTAACAAATCTGATTGTACTAGTTTGAAAAAAAAAAAGTTTAGCTAAGGAGTATTAGTTTTGGTCGTTGACAAGTAAAACAGTCAGTTGAGTCGTCTCTGAATACATAAGTCACATATTTTACACTAAAGATTGCACAATATTAAAAAAAAAATGTTTTCATGATCATTTTAATGAATGTTTCATCTGGGTATATCCTCAAATTATGACAAGAAAACAACTTAGTTGGACTTTATTTAAAAATTTTACCTGAACATTTCAAACCCTCATAAAACGTTTTCTGCGGCATTAAACTATCACATCATGTAATGCACGACTCCTTATAATTAGCAAATATCTCTGAAATGGTGATCGCAATAAATTTGTTTCAAAGGCTTGTAGGCATAGAAAACGTGTCATTTGAGGCAGCAGATTATACTATTATTATTATTATTATTATCATCATCCTCTGGTAATAATCCTGTCAAATAGGCTTACATTTATTTTGTGTGATTGAAGATTTCTTTATATGACAGTTTTTGTGACTTAAAAAATGGAATCCATAATGTGATCAATCAGGTTTTTTTGGGGGGGTGAATACAGTATACAGTAGTAAAAAAGCAAATTTTTAATCAAATCTGCAAAATTTGTTTAAAAATTGTATTTCTGTTTCTACAGAAACAGAAATATTTGAGAATATGAGGATGAAGCCTTCAGGGTTTCCAGGTGTTTGCGTGCGTTTCGTAATAATTGCAATTTTGAATTGCTGTATAGCAAACACTGAAGGAGAGGTGCAACTTATTTTATATTAAATGGATTCCACTGCAGGGTTGGTCTTTTATATATATATATATTTTTGTTTTGTTTCCAGATTTGATCCACTGCACCAACGAGATGAACGTGAACATTCCCCAACTGGCCGACTCTTTATTCGAGAGGACCACCAACACCAGCTGGGTGGTGGTGTTCAAGTCGCTCATCACCACACACCACCTCATGGTGTACGGCAACGAGGTGAAACATTCGCTCGTATCATCACCGTCACACTAACCCCCAGAGTTTAACCGCTCTTCTCCTCTCGCAGCGTTTTATCCAGTACTTGGCTTCAAGGAATACACTTTTCAACCTCAGCAATTTTTTGGACAAAAGTGGCCTACAAGGTAATGCTTCGAGTGAAAGGTGTTGATATATTTTTCTTTAGAAAAGAAGAATAAAAGCTAATTTATGTTTTGTTGTTTTCCACGGCGTGACGTTGCAGGCTACGACATGTCTACGTTCATCAGAAGGTATAGTCGGTACCTGAACGAGAAAGCCGTCTCCTACAGACAGGTCGCCTTCGACTTCACAAAAGTTAAACGAGGGTAAGACTGAACAAACTGGGATTCTCTCCTGTGTTTACTGCAGTGTTGTCCTAATGCAATCTTGTTCTTCATAGTTGTAGAGATAAACTGGCCAGTTACTAAACCAACCTTTGTTTCCATTTCTTAAAATTTAGTTTTTTTTTTGTTTTGTTTGACCAACAATCCACCTCCAAGTAATTTGTCGACTGTGACAATTTATTAACTTGAATATCGGAATACAAGTCTTATTTTTAATAGATTTTAAGTGTCAATTACATATTGGTTAATTCTAATCTTATTTTATTATGAAGGGGAAGTACCATAGCTTATCGGTGCTTGCTTACGAAAAGTGAACCAGGAAAGGCCTGCACCGCACGCACATGCAAATTTAGTCCTTTGTTTGCCTCTACTCAGAGAGGCTGTGATGAGAAACTGAAACGGAAAATTAAGGAAGATCACTAAGCCATATTACCATCATTTCTTAAATGTTTAAAATATGTAAAATTTCCTGTTTACTGTTGCATGTTTGTAGATCTGGTTTTAACAACAATGATAAAGTTATTAAAAAAATTCCGTGTTTTCCCTGGACTCACTTTATTCAGTCTTATGAAAACAAATATATATACAAGGGGTGTTAATCAACACCTTTATCACAATACGTTATATCGATTTGTTTGGATGATACAATGTTTCTCAGTCTGTCACGATACGATTTTGTTTAAATTGTGATCGATGTGCTGTATATGCCAATTCAGTTCAATCATTTTCATACAGCCTTAACAATTTACAAAAAACAATTCAAATGTGATTTGAACGTCTTTATTTCTAACTTATTTCAGACATCAACTGCGTTCCCACAGTTGATGTCTGAAAAAACAATCACTGATTAATCATTTCAAGAGTAACTTCTTTCTTGCTTCAGGGCCAGCACTCTATCAAACGCAGTGTCATCATTGGCTAGCAAAGGGATGTCTTTCACTAATCATTTCAAGAGTAACTTCAGATGAATTCAGGATCTATTCACTTCAAAGATGATGGTCCCCTTTTGAAAATGCACAATTATTTTTAAGTGTTATATATTTGTATATAGATTTAGAAACTTATCCTGGCCGTGAAATTCACAACAACGTAGAATTGTCTGTATTAACTTAAATTAATATTGTTACCTTCCTAAATTTGATTTCTTTTTAAAATTTTTGCCTAAAATATTTTTTTTTTCTAAAGACAGATGTGATTTATTTATTTATTGTTGCCAAAATCACTTTCTCATCAAATATCAAAATGGAACCACAGTAGGTTGTTGCAGGAAAAATTATGTATTTATTTTAATAAACTATAAATTTCTAAATAAAATGTCACTGTATTTTTGTGCCTACGCTGCGTCTCTCTCTTTGCCCATTTCCTAATTATAATAACTAAAAAGCCGTTTGAGGTTTTGGTGTTTTCATTGGAGAAACGGCATGTTCAAATATTCTAGTTTGACTTAAAAGAAACATTATTTTCAATGTTTTCTTTAAATTCGTCTGACATTCTAGACCATTTGTTGCCTCATTAAGTAACCGTGACTCCACACGTCCAAACAGAGTCGACGGCGTAATGAGGACCATGAACACAGAGAAGCTGCTCAAGACCATACCCATTATTCAGAACCAGATGGACGCCCTCCTCGACTTTAACGTGAGTTTCCGCTAAAGCCTCGTTTGGCTGAAATTTACAGGTTACGTTGTGTTTTCTAAACTCACATTTCACACAGTTTGTGCCTCAGCAAATGGCAGCGCAGTGTCTTTTAATAGAAATAGTCGTGGCTGACTGCCTTTTCTTAGGTCAATGCCAACGAGCTGACTAATGGAGTCATCAATGCAGCCTTCATGCTCCTCTTCAAAGACTCCATCAGGCTCTTTGCTGCTTACAATGAAGGCATCATCAACCTGCTCGGTGAGACCTTAAGCTTTGCTTTTCCCCCTCCTGCTGTCAGAATGTTTGCACTAGTGTTAGAAAACGCATCGTCTCCTTCCCAAACAGAGAAATACTTTGACATGAAGAAGACTCAGTGTAAAGAAGGCTTGGACATTTACAAAAAGTTCCTCACTCGCATGACCCGGATATCGGAGTTCCTCAAAGTAGCCGAGGTAGATTCTGCTTCATTTTCACTCTGAAAGCTGTTGCCTTAAATGAGTTCAACTGGTTTATTTATTTTTAATTTATCTATTTTTAAACAGCAGGTGGGAATTGATCGAGGCGATATCCCAGACCTCTCACAGGTGAGCAACATCATTTTTTATTTATTTATTTTTAGAAAAAGCCATGCCTTGCTTTGCTTTCTTTATTTCCAGCTAAGCTCGTCCCTGTGTTTTGTTTAGTGTTTTTTGGGTCTGGCTAGAGCACAGATGTAGATTATACTGAGATGTTAATTAAACGAGACACGTGACTTTAGAGATGCACCAATCAGAATTGTGAGTTGTCGTTTTTGTAAAATGTGAATGTGCTGTTAGAGCTAAAAACTACAAAAGCTAAAAAAAGGAGAAATAAAAGATCAAATTATTTCTTTCTTTCTTCTAGTTTTTATGATTGTATGGAGTAAATTGTAAAACAGGCTCTTATGAACATTATTAATCAAATACCAAATGGTTAGAGTTGGCATTCTTAGCTGACTTTAGCATCTTTCATTAGCGATTAGCATGAATGCCATGACAAAAACAGTGATTTCCATATGCTTTGCATAGAGCAGGCCTGCGTAAGCTTTCCATAAGGTAACTATGGTTGCCTCTGAGGCTCAAATCCACTAAAATGTGACATGCCATATTGACAACCGAGATCTTATTAGTATCTTCCTGTAAGTAATGTTTGTCTAGCAAAGCAATTGATCTGATTGGTGTAATAGGAATCAGTATGTAGTGGTATAGTAAAAGAGAAATCTCAGCAACTTTATGATTTAAAATGACAAAAACAGACAAGCAATCCCACAAGTCTTCTCAGAACCAGTCCCAATTGGATCTGGTTCTGGTTAGAATATAGTAAAGTCCATGTTTTGTAATTACTCTCTTCCGTTCACTAGACAGTTTCTTGGTGCATCTCTAATGATTTTGCATGATTTTTATTTATTTATTTATGTTTTGGCCGCATGTTTTTCCCGAAGGGGACGCTTTCCCTCCTTTTGCTCCCGATCCTCCCTCTGCTCTTCCAACCCGCGTCTGCTTCAGTAAATAAAGGTGTTTGTTGTTTTTTTTAAAGTCCACCCTATAGAACGAGATTGATCGCATATTGACAGCTTTATCTCCAAATTAAAGTAAAACAAGAAGAAACTAAAACAATACATGCTGCTGCATCAATATATCACCCCAAAAGAAGTTGAGTTGAAATGCTTTTTCTCCCCTCTGACTGTCACCACCTTTATATTCTGTATTCTCCTCCCTCCTTTATCTTTCCACTTTAGTTCACAGTTTGTGTAAGTACTGTTCTTTCACTCTTCTTCTTCTCTGTTCGTGACTTGCCTCGGTGTTGTCTTTTTGCATGCCTCTGCTCTGACTCGTGTCTCCCACATCGTGGTGAAACGCAGTTGAAGGAAAAAACCCTTGCTGTGGTAAAATTCTGCTTTACTTGGGTCGTGTCATTGAGGCAGTGTAGCTCGTTCTCCTGTTTAAAAAAATAAATAAATAAATTTACGGAAGAAAAAAAAATGGCTGCCCTGTCGTGCTTTAGACATGGCCGATTCAACAACCGGGTTGTTGAAGGAGCTGTGGTGCAGTCCGTCATCCCACACAGATGTTACTCTCTCATCCCAGAGTAGCTTTTTGGCTGGAATGCGGTCATTGATCAGTGGTTGGTGGCTTCCACCCCGGAGCAGGTGTAATTCTCTGAAATTGGCTGACGATTCATTTGTTTCCGATGGTATTTCATGAGGTTTCGTGCTTCCTGCTCCATCGTTGTTGCCCACCACTACCCGTAATGGTGTTGATGTCCGTTCACGTAACATTTTCTACATGTCAAGCGGTTGCTGACTGTGCGTTTTGTTTTATTTTTCATTTTTCCCTCGTCACGCCAGGCTCCCAGCAGCCTCCTGGAAGCTCTGGAGCAGCATTTGGCCTCTTTAGAAGGGAAGAAAGTCAAAGACTCCACTGCAGCCAGCAGGTACTTTAACTCACCGACGTTGTTGCTGCTTTTTTTTCTGCGTTTGATCGATAATGCTTTCTCATTGGCTCTGTGTGTCTGGTGTTTTGTTATTTTGTTCTTTCTTGCTTCAGGGCCAGCACTCTATCAAACGCAGTGTCCTCATTGGCTAGCACAGGGATGTCTTTCACTAAGGTGGATGAGCGGGAGAAGCAGGCAGCTCTAGAGGAGGAACAGGCCCGACTCAAAGCTCTCAAGGTTTGTTTACAGGTCGAGATCCACTCCATGAATGCGCCTCATTTGACTGCTTTCTTAAGTTGCGCTACTTTTTATTTTTATTTTTGTCCCAGGAGCAAAGGCTCAAAGAGCTCTCGAAGAGGCCATCTTTTTCCACCACCGATACATCGCCAATCTCCACCACCGGGGGCACCATCAGCACAGCACCAACCATCGACCTCTTCTCCACACCCAGCTGCTCAAACGGGTACTGCTTTCACATAGCCTCTAGTTACTTATTGGCTTCTTTAGAGTTTACTTTTTTGATTTCTTGTGCCAAGTTTAATAGATCTGACTCGTAGGCCTGTCGCAATGCACTTTGCTGGATGGTAAATTATCAGAAATTATTGTGATATATGATATTGTCATTTTGAGATCATTTTCAAGTAATTTATTGATAATGACAGAACAATGCCAGTTTGCCCACTCAAAGATTAATAAACTGTGATTTTGTAAAGAACACTTTACACTGGAACTGGAAGATATTTTGAATCTAAAATAAGTAAAAAAATAAAAACAAAATGGCCAAAAACCACAAATAATGAGGAATTAAATGTTTCATAAACCCTAAATGAAGTCAGTTGACCTTATGCAATTAAAAATTTATAATAAAAAAATTATGATACAATTAATTGATTTATTTCTTGTTGCGACAAGCTTAGAGATTTGAACATTTCATATGCAGACATGGATAAATGTCTGCATATCTTAAAGCCTATAAATATATTTACCTTTTTAGATATGGTAAGAATATCTCACTGAAAATCGGCCCTAAATTCAAGTATGTAGTGATAGGAAAGAAATCTTGTCTTAAATAATTGTTTTAAATCATCAGAGAGCCATGAGCCATTTAAATTGGCTGCAACTAAAGCATTCTTTTCTTTGCTCTGCTCTTTTTTTTAAACTTCCAAAAATCTAAGATGTCCTTTTATTTCTTGGAGCGTAAATATGAGTTGACACTCGGTCCCGTTTCTTTTAGCTGCCAATCCCTAGATCGCTAGCTAAAAGACATGAGGCTAAGACGGTTCCCACAGTCTGAAACGTCACAAATAGTTTGAAATTTGACCATTTTTCTTGTCTCAATACATTTGTGGAAAAAATGAAACTGTTGTAAAATGTTTATTTTTTTTCTTTCCCCGGCGTTTCTCCTTATCGCCAGTCTTCACAGAGACTGAAATCTAATGTTACTGAATAGATGGAAATGTTTACGTTGACTTAAATTTGAATGTCAAACATTAATTTTGATTTATCTCACTCTTTGTTTTTACCCATCACTATTTTTGAATTACCATCTGAAGACACACAGTTTCAGAGATCGAAAAGGGACATTTCACCACATTTAAATGAGACTGTAGCCTCATTTAAATGCTGGGTAAACTGGGATTGATAAACACTCAACAAAAACTGGAATGTAAGCATTTTGCTTAAATATTTTTGGAACCTACAGATGTGACCTCTATTAAAGCTGTTCATGGCAAATGCGTTTTCCTGCAGTCTCTGAACTGCAAAAATCTAAAGAAATCTAGTACGTCTGTACGGTTGAAGTCCTATCAGTCAGGTTTTACTGAGGCTGGTTTCCATTCTGTGACGATGCGCATCATTGAACATAGAGCTGGTTAAAGGAGCTTTTGTTTTCTTACTTATCCCCAGACAGTTATGGTTCAGTAGTGGGTTAATAAAACCTTCTGACATGATGTATGTTTTGTTTTTGTTTTTTCTGGACGCAGTGCGGTCAAGATGGAGAGTGACCTTTTTGACCTGCAGCCGAGCTTCCAGCCCTCCATGCAGTCGGCCTCCACAGGCCTCCCAGTGGCCACGGCGTGGGCAGGTAAACCTTTCTTTTGTTTTTCCCCCCTTTCTTCTTATCATCCTCCAACCAACACCGTGGCTCTAGACTTTGGCTCTGCATGCTATCCTTCTCTTGTTGCTGTTGTTTGACTCTGATCTCCACCTCTTCCTGTCCTCTCCACTCTTGTTTCTCTGTCATTTTTTTTCTTCTTTCCTGTCTCTCTTCTCTTTTTTTTCTCCCTCTGCCTGCATAGATCCTTTCACCTCTACTGAAGCTGGAGATGATTCCATGCCAAACCTTAACCCTTTCCTGTCAAAACTCGTTGTCGATGCCACTCACTTACCTGTCGTGTCTTCAGACGGTGTTAGCTTTTCCTCTAGGACATCCGGTCATGAAATGTTTGGTGGTAACAACTCATTTTGTTTCTCTTCCAAAGTCTCTCGCCTCTCTCGTTCATATATCTGTAAAATACTTAAGCGCATGATTATCCTGCATGTTTGATGTGCTTCTGTAGTCTGAATATTTTGTCTGTGCTGATCTTTTTCTCTCCTTATCTTACCAAACTCAGATTGGCCATGGGTTTGTTTTTGTTTAGCAAGTTATGCGATTTATAAAAGAAAACCTAGAGCTTTTTTCTGTTTAGCCTGTAAATATTTAGCTAACGTTTAATGGTGATGAAGTGAAAAAAAGTTTAAAAGGTAAATCTTTTGAGTTCTTCCAAATAATCAATGTTAGAGGTGCAACGCTACATGAATGTATACTAAAACTTTCTGTGTGGCTCTTTCGATTCAGCACACACACAATATGTTGTTTTAAGCATACATTCACGCTGAGGGTTAATGTGCCGAACTCTCTGTTCTCTACTTTACATTTTCTCATTTAGCAACATAAGCACAGAGGGGGGGAAAAAGTTGGATCACACAAGTGCTTTACATCAGCGTTTTATTCCACACTAAACTTAATTACTAACCCGAAACGACATCCAGCTGAACGCAAGCGTCAATGCTACAGAGACAAACAGGCTAACATCCAAATTCAGCCCCAAATGTCATCAGAGTCTTTATAGCAGAAGTGCAGCTATGTTCCGGTGGCGTCATGGCAGAACGTTTTGCATTTTGAGGGTTTACACAGGCAGGTGCTATTTTATGGTGCATTCAAGTACAACTCGTACACAGAAGTGTCTTTTAAATCACACAGTGTGAGCGCATCCACAAGAAATTTTAAGGCCTTAAGATGTCTCAAATTTTCAACTAAAAAAGAAAAAAACAAAACAAATAAATGCTAATCACAGGTCTTAAATTTTGTCTTCGTATGACTTTTTAGTCCTGTGAATTCCATGTAGAGTTTTTTTTTTTTTCTTTTCTTTTCTTTTCTGTCACCGGACTTTTTTGTCAGGCAAACGCAAACATCTTCACTGCGTTCTGTGACTCAAAGCGGTTGCGGACATCGGTAACTAGCTACTAATGTACATTTGCTGGCTACCTTGTTAGTTTTTTTGTTTAATCACTCATCATGGGTAAATACTAATTTATTGCCGGTTAGCTGGACAGCGTTGGTTCTCGCCACTGCCCCGCTTCTGTTACACATACGAGTCCTGGTGCAATCTGTAGAAAATAATACGTCTAAGTTTGGCACTTTGGGAGTTAAGACTTTAGAAAATGGTATTTAGTTTGAAAAGCACAAAGTTGCTCCCAAAAGCCACAAACTACAGAAGTTTTACTTTTTCTGCTTCACTTGATGGAAATACAGCAGGATCCCCCAACCGTCCTCAACCCTTAAACTTCTGGTTGAGGGTAGAGGTACCCTTGGCAGTACAAAGGTATTTAAAAGTCTTAAATTTGACTGATTTGAGTGAGTTTTACTTTTATTTTCAATCCAATATCAGCTCATTGTTCTTCCTAAGCAACATTTACCATTTCCTGGTAGTTTAACTGTAGTTGAATAATTTGTATTTGTTGACTAAATCAAACCAGATCTCTGCTCTGTTCTGATCACTTTTGTAAATGCAAAAAAAAAAAAAAAAAAAATATATATATATATATATATATATATATATATATCACCATGAGATTGTCAGAACTACAATCCGGCACCTACAGGAATGAACTGAATTTTTTTTTCTTTTGTTTGATTCTTGCCACTGGGGGCTCCAGAATTTTCCGTGTACAAAATTGTGTTGCACATCAGTCATTTCCTGCCATTCGGACATTTTGCTCCGCCGTTTCTCTTTCTGCCATCTTTACTTGCATTGATTTTTCTAAACAAAGCCTTACGGTGCAAGTGGATTCAGGCTTTGAAAGCAACAACCACAGGCATTGGTTGTTAAACTTTACAAAATGATCACAAAATTATTTGTTTTCAGGATAATTTGAAGCCAAAATTGAGTGATTGTCATTATGTGCAAAATACTAACTTAATGTTTGTATTAAATTAGACTCCAGTCCACAGCTTAACAGCATTTTCAAATATGAATCATGCCATCTTTTAAATATGTTTTCCACACAGCAGAGTGATTAACACTTGACTTTTGGAACGGTTGTATCAAAGTGCAGCTGACTGTAAAATCTGCCATCATGTCTTCTGTGCAGTTAGCTTTCAGCTACAGTTTGGTGTTGCTTTGTAGTGCTCAGATGCTGTAGAGCTTTTAAAGTTGAAACCTGTTCTTACACTATTTTTGATTCTCCAGATCGTTACAATCCCTTTACTGACACAAACTCATCAGTTTCAACCAATTACAAACGCACAGTGCGGATAGAGCACTCCATCTCAGGTACTACGACGGCTCAAAGCCTTGACCTATGTTTGCTGGCAAACATAGACTCCTGTCCACAAATCCCCAGAGCCATTATTTTAATACCTCTAGCAGATTTATTAGAATTAAAGGAAGAGTTTTACATTTTGGGATTTTTTTAATTTATTTTTTATTTTTAGTTTCTACTTTTGTTACTACTAAACATGTAAAAGTAGTAACATCGCTAGACCAGATCATCAGCTTTTTATTTGCCAATATCTTTGAGTTGGAGAATAAATTTTAATTGCATCAAGCCAGATGTCACATAATCATCTTTCAGTAGAGCCTTTTTTATGGGAAGATGTTTTAGCTAAACATTAATTATGTCCAAAATAAACATATGTGTACATTTTACAAACTGCCTTATAACAGTTTCAATAATAAAGCCTTAAATTTGTCTGAACGCACGTAAACTTGATAAGTGATATCAAGTTAACAATATTAAGAGCAGTGCGAAATCTTGATTAAAAAAAAACATTTTTTATTTAGACAAATGACTGGGTTTAAAAAGACAAGTTTAACATATTCAGTGTGAAGCATTAAGATTAGGGCTACAACGATGAGGTATTTTAGTAATCGATTATTCTGTTAATTTTATTCTAAGCGATTAATTAAAAATGGCAAATTTTGCATTTAACCACTTAAACCTTTTTTTAAACATCAGAAATGGATTCAAGTATGTAAACTGATGACGCAATTCCTTTTTTAAATAAGAAGTTAAACATTTTACTGCCTAAAAATGTAACATTTCATTTGTGGCAAAAGATGCATCTGCAACAAAAACATGCTTCTAACAACATGTGGGAAGCTCAGCCTTTTCTGATGGAATTAACGTCAAAACAGTGCAGGGCTGATCTGTTTAATTTCTCATTTAATCGATTAATAATTAGAGAGCAAAAGGTGCTTAATAGGATTTTTTTTTAAACAGAATTTAAAAAAGATTAAATTTTTTTTTTTTTTTTTTGTCTTAAATGCAAAACGTACGTATTGCATAGCTTTGACTTAGTTATTGCTGACTGTGTTCTTCTTTCAGCAAATGACCTTTTTTCCCCTAATTGCTATACTCTGTTTAACGATTAATCGTTTGCTAAATTATTTGATGGCTATTTCAACAAACAATTAATCATTTCAGCCCCTATTAGAGTAGCGTTTTAGTATGATTTTCAATTTTTTTTAAAAAAATGTAGCGGGCCTGATGAGCTGGTCTGGGATGATCTGTAATATATTAAATTCTTATCCAACGTTTCACAAGATTGATTCCCAAAATGTTCCAACTTTACCTTTAATCCCTTGTGGGTTGCTACATTTTTATGCTGCAATGTTTTACTTTAACCGATCTACTGAGAGATTACATAAAAAACTTTTATGAATAAAATGGATATATGTAAATGTATCTATGTACAAGCACTTTTTTCTTGCTTTCTGTATTGCTGTTGTCAGTCCTTACCTGTTTCTGACCTGTCCTTGGAATGCTTTTCTTCCCCTTTTCTTTATCTTCCCATTTTCTTTGCCGTTTATCCGGCTGCTTCACGCGACCTGTCAGACTCCTTCTGTGGTCCGGTGTCCGTTGCTCAACACCTCCCACACCAGGCTCCCTTCCCCACTGAGCCCTCTACTGTAGCAGGTCTATTCAGAGGTAGAGTATGCTAGGCTCGCTCTTCAGCAGATCAAATCTAATTTTCTGCTCTGCTTAAGGAATCCTGCTACTGTGCAGTTTGGGAATCTAGTTCGGAAATGCTGTAACTTTGTCAGTCAGCGTTCTCGTCTCTTTTCCAAAGGATACTCAACGCCTCAAGCCCCTCCACAACCGCCAGCAGGGGCCCTACAGGTGGACTTTGAGTCCGTTTTTGGAAACAAAGCCGCCGGCAGCGGGAGCCTCAACTCTGATGGTGACGATTTAATTTCATGGGACTGAATCTTGCTTAATGTAGCACAATAGTGTGTTATGTTTAAAAACAAAAAAAAAAACATGAATTTTGAAAAAAAAAAAAAAAAATGAAGGAATACTATATATTTATTTTCCCTGTCAGATCTCACCGGAGGCATCCTGAAGCCGACTCTCGCCGGCTCCAACCAGCTGTCCAATCAGCAGCCTGAGAAGCTGGTGTCAGACGACCTTGACTCTTCCCTGGCCAACCTTGTCGGCAGTGAGTGCAGCGCTTTATATTCATCTGCGCTAATGAACATGTATCTTCATTAAGACGCACAAAAAAAATGACTGAAATTGTTCCACTAACCACTGCTTGACGAATGTTGCTCTCCAGATCTGGGCATCGGAAATGGAACGATGAAGAAGTAAGTGACGGTTGATTGGCTGATTGGTGGATGGGGACGCCGTGTGCGTTTTCAGCCCAGTGCCACCAGCTGCTGCTGACGCCTGCTCTGTTGATCCGCAGTGACATCCACTGGAGCCAGCCGGGGGAGAAGAGGATGACCGGCGGCACCAACTGGCAACCCAAGGCAGCGCCCACCACGACCTGGAACCCCGTCTCCATGGTGACACAGACGTTCACATTTAATTATGTTTATATCGGCTGTAGTTTTACCTTCAAATCTGAATTTTAAAAAAAATTCAAGTCTTATTCAGAGCTCAAAAAAATAAATAAATCCTCTAAAACGTTCCAGGATTTTAAAAGATTTTTACTTACAAACTGCTTCAGAAACGACCAGCAACACAAAAGTATTCACACCCCATCACAGTATTTCCCTTTTTGAGAGGTTACAGACAAACCTCCAGTATTTTTATTTTTATATGATAGAGCGACTCTTCTTAGTGTCGCTCCATCACATGTTTTGTTTAAAACATGTTTACAGACAAAAGTGTTTTCTATCTTAATTGCCAAATTTGTTTAAATATTGTACAGTTTGGCTTAACAACTATGAATATGTTTATTTTTCAAAAAATGGTCTGTCATTTGTGTCTGCATACCCAAGTTAATGATGAATTGATTACTATATTAATTGACAATTATTCCAATAACCGATTCATCAGGATTAATCTGATTAATCGATTCAGCCGTAACAAATATGCTTTGATTTAATCCATCCCACTACATCTTTAGCTGATAAAGGTTTATTGTGGGTTTTCTCTGATCCATAGAAGTTCAAATTTTTCCATACAGACTCAAGTATGTAAACAGAATAAATGAATAATGTAAAACGTTTGTCCCACAACTCTCTGGCGGTTTTGCTATAAAGTTTCCTCAAACTGTTTCTCTCCCATCAGCCAGCGTCAGTCATGGCCTTCCCTGCCACCACTCCCACAAGCATGATGGGATACAGCATGGTGAGTCCCTCCGCTCAGCTGCTGCTTCCACTCTGAAGATCACAGAAAAGTTCCACAAATAATTTTCCCTTTTCGTGCAACAATTTGTTTTGATGGTTAAGCAGCTTGGCAGATTTTAAAAATTACAGATATTTATGATGAGACAATTTATCAAAGACATTATGACAGAATCCATTATTATGATTATGATTATTATCATTTCATAAGCCTAAATTTGGACAGCTTTATTTACAGGTAAAATCTGATATTTTCATACACCTCATAAAAAGACAGATTTTTTTTTTTTCTCACTGTCTGAAGTTAAATCAGACTTAACTTTTTTTGTTTTGAGTCATTCATAATTATTACAATTATTTTTATTTGCTAAATGCCAGAGATGTTGATGAGAACAGTTTTTTTTTTTTTTATCTTAAAACGGTTTATGAATATTTATTATTCCGAACGGCTCAAAGACTTATTCATCTTTTTACTTGTATTTTGAACCTTAAACAAATTGAAATCAGGGGATTTTAGTGTGTTGTTCTCTGAACCAGTCAGGTGTACAGAATGTGAGAGAAAATTCATTTTTTGATAATGTTTTAATTTATTGTGATGCACCTAAGCAATAGTTTTGCCTGTTAGTATTTTATTTGTATTCCTACTGAACAGGAAGCATCCCTCAATAGGAGGGGAGGCAGAGTAGGGATCGCAAAACACTTTATTTATTTTTTCAGAATTGTTCATATTTTTTGCAAACTAAATGAAACGCCTGACCCGACTTTGTGTCCAACCCTCCGCAGCCTCCACAAATGGGCTCCATGGGGATGATGAATCCGCCCACCATGATGTACACCCAGCCCGTCATGAGGCCACCCAACCCCTTTGGCTCAGTGTCCAGCGCTCAGGTGGGTCCACGCGTCATCAGGACGGGGTGGCGGCGGGGGTAAAAGGGGCGTGGCCATTGTGTAGTGTTGTGTCCCATGGTTGGTCACTGTGAAAGCTTTGTTGTCGGTGTGAATACTGCTGAAGATGATGACAGTTTTAACAAAAAGAAAGAAAACCTTCACTCTCTGGAGCTGAAAGCAACAAAACAAAAACTGTAAATCATCATCTCTTGTTTCGACTTCCTGTTTCCAAACAGCTCCTTTTTTTATTATTATTATTATTAACCCATCAATCATACATCACAGCCTCTCCAACTAATCTCATCCCTACTTCAGTCTCTGTACTGACTCTGACTTGTCCTCTGGTCCTCCTACTTCCTCTGTTAGCCCTCTGCAGCCTCTAGTCCTTCCAGCCAGAGTCCTCTCCGAGCCCCTGGACAGGACCCGTTTGCACACCTCTCTCTCAAGGATTTCTTGTAGAGCATCTCTTTAGGTACATCATGCTGTTTGCTTGCTCAGGCACCTGCATGCGTTGTCTGTCCGGCGCTGATGCACATTTGCTTTTGCCGCTAACTTTTAAGCCCCTTGATGTCCTTGCCAGTGGATCACGCACTACATGTTGATTTTTTTCTTTTCTTTTGTTTTTATTTTGCTTGGATGTCATGCTTGTGTTGTCAGATAGAGACCAACTCATTTTGGTTCTTCGTTCCTCCATTCTCCGTTGCTCAGACCTGTTTTTTCTGCTTTGCAACTGTTGCTAAATTTAATTGTTGGCCGTTTGCTAAGCTTTGTCTCCTTCGAAGTAAATCTGAGGGCTGACGCAATTAATCGTGACAAATCAAATATTGAAACAATCAACTAATTTAGTAATTAATCGTTAAGTGAACAAAAGAAGGCAATTTGCTGAAAGAACAACATGCTAGGAGGAGTAGTTAAAAAAACTTTACAAAACTATAAACGTTTTGCACTTAAGGTGAAGAAAAAACATGTCTGTAAATGTTTTACCCAAAACTCAAGTGGCAGCTTTAGCTTCACCTGCTTCAAATTCTGTAAAAAGAGGAACAAGAAGAAATCTTCTATTAGGCACATTTTGCTTATTAATTATTAGTCAGTCAGTTAATCCTAAACTGGTCACCAGATCAGCTCTACACTGTATTAAGTAGAGCATAATTTGAGCTTTTCACCTGTTAGATTTTTATTTTATTTTAGCTACAGATGTACGCTTTGCTACAAATAATCAAATGTGCAGTAAAAGAATGCTGTGTTATTTCATTTTAGGAAATAAAATGTGTATTTTTGCATTTAAAAAAAATATTTGTTCATTTGCATTTTTTATTGTATTTATAATATTTTGTAAAAAAAATCTGCAGAATGTGCCACAGGTGAAGTTAAAAACTTTGTGTTATTATTATTGTAATAACTGGTCAGTTTCCCCATTTAATAGAAAACTGCAGTTGGTGTATCTGCAGAGACAATTTTGTCGTTTTCTGGTTCCTCAAACAAACTTGGCTAATTTATAAAAAGAATATTGTGATTCAATAATTTGCTTCTGAATTGACGATATTTTTTTTTTTTTTTTTTTTACGTTTTTACTGAAAAATTGTTTTAACATGAACTTGGAAACCAAATTTGCAGTTGCATGTTTGTGTCATGGTAACATCGTGTGCTTGTGGTTTTGCTTTTGCTTTGTAACTAAAAGGCGCTCAAACCAACCGTGTAACTCGACGACCTCATTAGTAAAACATATTCGCTTCATTAAGGCTTCAAATTCAGAATTTGCTAAACATCTTTGTTAACCTCAGTTTGGTTAAAAAAAAAATATGAGGGAAAAGCTTAGCAAACTTCAGCTAAACTGTTCATCCCTGTTTTTATCATTTCATTTTTATTATTCTGATACGACCCTCCACTTTTCTTGCAGATGCAGTTCATGTAATTTGAAGGAAGTGTCTCAGAAGATGAAGCACTTAGCTGCAAAACTTTGTCCTCGTTGCAGTCGAACTCTTCAGAGAAGCAT